CCAAACTAATAGTCATGGAAATAAAAATGCTAGAAAGTTAATTTTCGTGTTCCGTTACATGTGTGAGCCACTGTATACCATTCGATTTGTCAAGACGAATCGAATGGTATTATTTTTGTTTGAATCGGATCACTGGAGATCGAGATAACACGTCCTAAATTGGCTGATTAATTTTTGTTGACTCCAAAAAAATGAATCTGCTACTTTAAGATGTAATATTTCGACAGCCAGTAATCAGATTTGAACAAAAATACTATATACCATTTGATTCACCTTGACTGGGCGAATAGAATGGTTGTATGTTTGTTCAAATCGGATTACTGAAAGTCAATAATTAGATTATTGAGATATGTGTTCTGAAATAAATGATTATACATGTACGTATTTAGGACGTGGACATACAAAATCTATAAAAGGTATCAACGATCAGCATTTGTAATGTTCTAAAATTTTGGTACACATGAGCTATCGCTATGGAAAGTTAAGGGGGTACGTACGTTACTTCTAATGTTTGCTTTTTAACAAATCTAGACATGTCGATCACAAGTAGAACGTACATTCAAATCATTTACCGTTACTGTATCGGCATTAAGCGAGTTTGTGATGTTACACATTACCTCAACACACTCTAAAATGGAAAAAATGATAAAGTCATACGTATCGGTGTTTACAATAGATCTTTATTTGATTCAACTTTGTATTGAAAAGTACGTAGGATTTTATGTGAAGACATCAACCCATTTTTATTATTATCGCCGTTAACGTTAATATACAATAATGAGTCGTCCAGAAGGAACTTCGCCACCTATCGTAAAAGGATTCCAAATGAAGCAATGTTGCTTTTGCATTCGTTTGAACAATGGTGTGATAGCTTTAAGCACTTGGTGGCTGGTTAGCTATTAATAAACCATTTCTTTTATTCTAATCTATTTTCATGTATTAATAATGGTATCACTTTCTAATTCAAAAAGCTTGCTGGAATTTATCTAATTATCGTTGATTTTAATAATTTTGCTCAAGCAAAGCAAAACTCTGAAACTTGTAGGTTTTTCAATTCAAAATATGACTCAAAATATAGTTTCTTTTTTAACTTTTCTAAATTGATTGGTAGATTGGCAATATAAAAGATATTGGGGTTTAGTGGATGGAATTCTCGCAATTTTTGTTGTAATTGGCGCAATTTATGGATTAATAGCAGTAGTCAAAGTAAGGTTTTCTGTACAATGTACATATAATTAAGCAACACATAAAATGTATTGGTACTTCATTTCTTCTCTTTAGGAAAACATCCAACGCTTGAGTCACTATGTAATAATATCATGGATTATTACAACAAAAGAATTCCTAATGGGAATTGCCGATATAGTAACATTAGTCATTCTAAAACAATCATTAATTGACTACTGTGTATCGTCTTCGAAAGATACATCGGATCCATCGTCATCGCTTTCGGTAAAATATACGCCGAGTGAATGTGCCTCGTCTTATGACAAACTATTGTCATATACAATTGCTGTTGTGATCTTTGATGTATCAATTATGGTAAGCAGATATAGAATGTGATTTTCGTTTATTAGTATTTCGACATTTTTAATTTTTTATCTTTCTTATTATTCTTGAAAGACATATTTTTCATTGGTGGTTCTCGCGTACAGAAATGCCCGTCTTTTGAAAGTGACGCAGAATGAAAAGTTAACGACGACGACGAAGCAAGTTGTAATAAAAGTAAGAGCAAGCGGCGATAAATCATAGAGATTGGAATCATAAGTTTTTTTTATCATTATCTATATATTTCAGTAATGTATAAATTTATCTCATTTATATTTATGTATTAAGGAAGTTCAATAAGATTTTTAAATAAAAGCTAAAAGAAATTTATTTACGGATTTTTCAAAATATAATCATAAACTTTACAATTTGGACAGTCGTCTCCCTCTATAGTCACCTCCCGTATAATCACCCACTACCCCCTAAGGTCACCTTGTCCCTGGTTCACTCAATATGTGACAATTAAATAAAAACCCCTTATATTAACACCCCCCTTTCATGAGGGATAAGGCTGTCTTTTAGACAGTATTTTGAAAATTGAGAGTTTTCGACAATTTGTCTAAAAATATAGAAAACGAAAATCATATAAAGCATTCAAAATCTTCATCTAATTGATCTAAAGACCCAAAAATTGTTATAAAGATTTTGCATATTTTTATCTCAAAATTTTTTCTTATGCTGTCTAATTGTTTAAAGACAGCCTTGCCGGGGGGCGTGACTAGAGGGGGACGACTGCATACTGATACGTATTCCGAATTTCAAATCAATAGGTTAGTTAGCTTAAATTAGGGGTTATGTTAAAAATGTATCATGCGCATGTATTTTTTATACAGTACGTAATTAAGCTCGATTTCGAATTTATCCTATATATTAGTGTCTCGAGATCCTTTCAGTGCACTTTCTAGCTTCACCCAGAAAATATTGCAACTTTCTTCAATTGTATTTCATGTTAAATCATATTTCTATGTATTTTCTCAAATAATAGATAATTTCAAACTTTAGAGGCTGTTATTTTCATGCAAAGTAAATTTTCCTTGAATAACGCAAGACGAAGACCACCTTGGTACAGTTGCATTAATCAATATTTTCGCACTGTAGGTAAATAATGATATTAATTATTGTCAGCAGCTCCAAAGGTATAGTCATAATATAGCCATAAATATGTATTATGTATTTTTTTCATAATTTTATCCTTAGATTTTTTAAAATTAGTAGTCGCAAGCTTTACATGAAACATGTACATGTATACGTAGTAAATATTATAATGCATGTAAATGATTCACTAATAGCATAAAATTCATTAAAGCACACAACTTCGATATTTATTTAGTAAAGTACATATACAGTATTCTTAATTCTAAATGTCAATACATAAATATATACGTAGGTGGAAATTACGCTAATTATTTCATAAACAAAGAAAGTCCAGACACAATCACAAAGCTCAAAAAGACGCCTATAAATCTAACCAAAACACCATCTTCCACACGACTAGCGCTCGACAATTTATTTTTATCATTGCTATTTGTCTTCAAAGTCGGATCGATATGATGGCGAATAGTTGTTGCCTTAATGATATGAACTTTACTTGGATCGGGATTTCCTGGTAACTCCATCCACGGTTTAATGCCATTTTCGTCATCTGTGGTTGGAGTCGGTTTCATTTGAGATACCGAAGATTTTGTTTGAACAATTGCAGTTGTCATTGGTTTGTTTGGAGATTGGTCTGCTGCGACAATGTAGACCAAAAGAAAGATCACGAGTAGAGCAACAAGAAAGAGAAATTTTAAGCTTGAAATTTTGGTGGACTGCATATTTATTTATGTTCTTCTGGCAATTGATGAATTTAAGTATAAATATTTTTTAAGAATGCTGCAAAAGATTGAAATAAGTTCCGAATTTATAATCATATTTTTGAGTTAATTGATGAAACAAAAAATTTCGATTTTCTTGATGCAATCTATTGATTTGATTCAGTTGATGTCTAAGCATCAATAAAGATGAAAAAGGCATTTTATTTTAATCTGTATATGGTGTTTCTCTATATGAAATTACATTTAAATACTCTTAGAAAATGTTGTAACGCTGTCTCTTGCAGTGTTGAAAAATGACCCGGTCATTTGGCCAAATTGAAATGACTTTGAGTAGTCATTTAGTTATTTGGTCATTTATTATTGATAATTCGTTATTTTGATTGAATATCTTTCAAAATATCAAGGTCATTTCGAGAAATTCGCCAACACTGGTTTCTTGTGTGTTAAAGATACGTGTAAAAAGATACTTGTATCTTATGTGTAAATTCATTATAGATATGCAGCTCCATATTCCAATTCCGCCGGGGTGATCTCCGCATTTATGGGCCACTCTATCGATCAGCCCAGTCTTCCACCCATTAGGATGATAACTACCACACATTGACGTTATATTTGAGTAACCATTGATTTTTTAAAGTTAATTTTTTTTCTTCGTCATCCTGATTTTTTGAACAATCATAATGTTTTTACATCAACCATACTCTTTTCTTCCTTCTTTCGGTACCAGTCATGTGTTTGTTCAAGTATTCTTTCCAGTTACGTCAGAGCCGATATAACCTTGAATATTGCGTTGGTTCAATATTCCTCCACTGAAGGCACATAGTTTGGATATGTTGAAGTTAATTTTCTGTTGAATTAAACATGAAAATAAATTGATTTTAATATCGAATGGTTTATTAGCATCCTATTATTTTTTTATCGTTATTTTAATATTTCTTTTACAAATGATATTTATGAATCGAAAGAAAAATGGAACAGATTTTAGATAAGTACAATAGTGAATTAACTAATCAGCATGCTTTTCGGCTTTCTCAGTACTAATATCGATTCTCATGTAGTTCGTCGTTGTCTTCGGCAACTATAATATCACATTATCAGTTAATATGCCTTTGCTAAACTTGGCTTATCTTTATGATCATACAACTCATCCGGGCATGATAAGTAAATCAGGTATGAATGTGGCGCCAATTATTTGCTAACTTTTCGGTATATATCCGCCCATTCGAACAGTGACCAATTTGATTCAACATAAGCAAGGACCTCTTCCTCTGGATTTTCATCACTATCATTGAATGTGTTATTGACAATGGCTTCTATGTTACAAGAATTCGCAACTTGGACATGCTCAGTTTCAATGGGTATAACAGGTGAAACGTTAATTACAGTTTCTTCAAATTCTTCAAAAGAAGAAATGGTGGAGAGGTGCGACGTTCAAAATTATATTTGTCATTGAGCATGATATTAGCTTGCCAAACTAGATGCTTGCATAGCAGGGAGCGACTTTCAAGAAAGGCAGGGCAGCTGCAGACCTAGTGAATAACCTCAGTAAAATATAAATTACCCCATTAGTTATTTTCATACTGATGTTTCGCTTTCTTTTTCCCTTGATGTGTTCATTGGCACAAATTTCTACAAGTTACTCTTGAAATTGTCCCACTATCACAGTTCCACCACACCGATCAGAATCTGAGAAAGCCACTCTTTTTGTACTGGTATTACCTTGCTGAAGAGCACCCAAAGCAGCAAATCAGTCTAGGACGATTAAAATAGTGTAGATAGCACCGTTTGATGACACTTTAGTGTGCTTCAATTTTATTGTTGTTTTACCAAAAGATATAGTAGCTCTAACCAATCATGCCCAGAGGTGCCATCACTCTGACGAGTACCAATTGGGCTAGCAATGAATTTTAATGCAGAATGAATATATTTATTTTACTGCACGTTTAATATCCGTCAGTGCCATAGTATTCTTTGAGCATCGATGTTTCCCACATCTAAAAATAGACATTCAGATGGAACTGATGTAGATCGATATGACAGAAATTGTCAAATATTTGCGTGCAAGTTGTGAAAGAATGTGATATCGATACATACAACGATGATGTGATGTGACGACGATACTAGTCTTGGTTTTGTTTTTCATTGCATGTTGATTTTTTTCCCTTTTCGTTGGAATAGTTGAAGTTGTACTTTGATTAGTTGAAGTATTGAGATGCCGATCAATATCAGTTACTTTTATCTAGTATCTGCATTGGTTTTCTTGGTTATTAACATTTTTGTTAAATGACAGTAGTTTTTTTGTCGTAACATTTGCCATGTTTTTCACAAGTCAAAAGCATGATTTTCCAACTACTGTACATTTATTTACATGATTTATGCATTCTCAGAATCGATCCCTATCCCTACGCTGGACAACGTCCGTGTACCATAATGGTCCCTGTCAAATCTTGTGCCATAACTTGGCCCGAAATAACCTGGATGATCCGATGTTAAAAATGATGCAGACATCCAAGTGATGAATTAATGGTTGGTTTGAATCTCTAACCAATTCCTTGCATTGCAAGTAAAGTGTTTCATATAAAATTTTCTTTGAAGGATGTAAACATCTATTCTAGTTTCACAGGCACGTTGTTCAATTTGAAGATTAATTCTAGAAAAATTCATTAAAATTCAGTTCAATACTCAAGGATCACAAAGATACAATCAAAGCCCTTTATAACGGCCGCATTGAACTAGCCCTTTTAGGCCGGTATAGTGGGATTTCGGTATACTCTGTATACCAGCGTTGCTAAGTAGCAGTCGTGATCTTCGATGTAAGCCAATAATGAAATGAAATATGACATTATATATTATCACAAATAAAATAAGTAATATTTCATTCATTTGTGTTCTTCGATCTTTTACCCAAAAAAGATTGCAATCCAAGAATATATGTCATCTGCCTGCAAGTATATCAAGAATCGATTTTGAAGCTTATGCAGAAATATTTTGATATGTACAGTACGTACCCAAAAAGTGTTGCCCGATTTTCAATTTTAAAAATCAATATATTAATATCAAGTTTTCTTCCGGTTTGATAAGCAAACTTGATGTTTGTTTACTTTTTACAACTCGTCAATATTATAACATTGTTATATAAAAAAATGATGTCCGCTCGTACATAGCTAAACGAAATTGAAAAGGGAAGATTCTGGCATACATAGAAACCGAAAATGCCACCCAAATCGCAAAAATGTTTGGACGTGATCCAACAACAATATGGCGCTTTATTGCTAAGTATAAAAGGATGGGGAAAAGTGAAAACGTACCTCGTTCTGGAAGATCACCGGTCCTTAATAACCATGAAAAAAATTTACTCGTATGTAAAGTTAATGAAAACGACATATACCAATTTAGGTCATAACTGTAATCTATCAACTGCCGCAAATGTATTACACGATGCCGGACTTTATTCTCGTGTCGCAGCAAAGAATCCCTATATTTCGGATACACATGCTTATATTCGTTTTAAGTGGTGTGAGGAAAATCAAATAAAACAGCTTATGATTGGCAAATATAATCTTCTCTGATGAGACGAGTGTGGAAATTGGGAAGCTATCACGACAATCAAGAGTTTGGCGACACACTGGAGAAAGATTTAATGCTAATT